CCAAATTTTTTTTTTTTTTTTTTACTCTTTATAGACAATTGATATCGAAGTAGTTTGTACTGTCTATCATTTTTATATGTGGTCGCTTCTGTCACAAATTATGGGATATCTGAAAGCTGTGCGTAGAGCGGCTTGGAAAATGTTCGGTAAACGAATTTGGCGTACGCTGAAAGAAAAACAAAATTAACTAAACAACCGGAAGTACTATAGAGAAATAATTTATATTACGGTTTATTGCGTACGACCAGCATAGTTCTTTGTTTTCGCKCACGATTTTCGTTTTCAAACTTTTTGTTATTATAATAATAYACCTTGCATTATGAAATTATTCGCATAATGGGAGRCAGTTTTGTGGGTAGTAAAAATTGTAGCGTAAACATTTATCATAAAGTTAATTATGCACACATAAAATAAAAACAAACTTTAGGCATGTCAAATGTGAGAAAATAAATAAAAGAAAAATAATTRCTTATAAATAATAACCATMACCCTTATGTACTATATAGTATATGCAAATGACGAAACTCAAAGATTTATAATTAAAAAWTTTTAATTCTACGACCGTAAGAGAAACGAACACGTAGCATACTAGCATGTACTGCGGTATTACAGGTTTTTACAAGTACGTCATCTACACCTAACCTAAGCTATGTTATATTATTCAGTCGCAGTTGTCGAATATATTTCTTAATCGTTCATTCCTATCTAATATCGTCGGCGAGAGTATTAAAATAAACGAAAAAATTATATTATTGAATAATATAAAAAATATACAACACAAGTTCCAAATTAACCTTTACCTTCTACAAACGGCTAATGGCCATAGTTGATGAGCTCARGACCAACAAAAAAAATCCAGATACGACCATGCTAAGTATAATAATATATATACGGGTTCGAAAGTTTAAGAAAGTGCGTAATAGTAAATGTAAGGTTTTTTCTTCATTATATATGCGAAAAAGACTCAATGCTGTTAGAAGAAAATCCGTGAATTTTTGTGATTTCCCATTTTCGGTACAAATGTATTTGCGGATATGGCCTCGTCAGTGGCGCCCAAACAAGTTAGCAAATACTTAAACTACATGTGCTCTCGAGAGTAAGTGTAAATTACTGGTGTTGCAGGGAAGTTTATAAATTTATAACAWACATTTTAGTATATAACTGTGGAGTGCAGCAAAAATATGTTTTTTWAAATAAAAAATAATAGTGTTTTGRTGGGTWACTTTTTTGAACTGTACTTGCACTATATACCTTTTTGAATCACTGGCTCTCAAGCGACTATAGGAGACTAGGAGAGTAACGCGTTRAGTGACTTTTTACGACAGCCCGTGGTAAGGGTATAAGGGTTGACGGTATCTAAATTGGATACCGGTATTTCGGTWTAAGAACCGATATACCACGAAAGAAAAAAAACCGTCAACTCTTATATAATAATAATATATATATATACGGATAATTACTTCAGTATTAAACGATACGTCGGTACTTTGGTATTATACGAAGTATACCGTACAAACGGTATTTGTGCAATAACCGGTATGCTCAAACAACCGTCAATCCTTTAGCAGCGTAAATGATTTATGATAATGAAAACGTCCACTTGAAAACGCAATGAGAAGGTAAAATAAATTTATCTCAAAGAATTGAATGGGTAGGAACCAACCTTGAAATTAGCGGTGACTGGCTGATGCTTTTCGTTRGTCTGCAGTTTGGCCACGTTGTTGACCAAGTCGATGTCCACGTGCTTGACGACGTTCGGGTCTTGGTGGTCGGGCACCCGCAAGTGTATCACGTTGTACGCGGGCGGTTGTGCGCTGCGGCCACCATCACCGCTTTCGTCGTCGTCGTATACCGCATACTGCTGCTGCTGTTGTTGTTGATGCTGCAACTGCTGCTGGTGCTGCAGTTGCTGATGTTGCTGCAACTGCTGTTGGTGCAACTGCTGTTGCTGTTGGACGACCGCGCCGTGCTGCACGTACTGTTGGATCTCGGCTGGCATGAACGATCCGAGGCCCCGCGGCTTGGATGACGGCACGAACTGCACGCGACCGCCGGACGCGGGCCTACGACCGACGACGGACGCGGGCCTGTGTCCGCCGTTCTGCTGCAACACACCGCTGCTGCCCCCCGCGTTGCCATGTTGCTGTACCAGGTAGTCGCCGGCCTGCTGTAACTGATGCAAGTGCAGCTGATGCGCGGCGTTGTGCAACAGCGGATGATGACCGCGGTTGTGGTGGTCGTGTGGCAACTGTCGCGGCGGCTTCTGGACCGGCTTGTGGCCGTGTCCGACGATGCCTACTTTCCCGAAGTGCTTGTGCCCCATGTACCCGAGGTGCTTGTGCTGGTGGCCATACGCGCCGACGTGCTTGTGGCTGTGCGTCGATTTGCCCGCGTGCCCGTGCTCGTGGGCCACCTTGCCGCTGTGCTTGTGGTCGTGCACCACTTTGCCAGAGTGGATAAGCGGTATGCCTTTTCCGGCCAGCTTGTACGTGTGCACGTGATTCACATGCTGCGGCACTTCTTTGGGCACCACGATGATGATCCTGTGGTGTCTACACAATACGACAACATATACCATTATTGAACAGTTATATATGCATTTATATAATATGATAACGTTCAACTCTATCGACATTGTATTACGAATGATTTTTTTTACAGGCCGTTTGTGCGTAACTTTTATAGTTTTATTATGCAAAACATTAGAAAGATATTTAAAATGAAATGTAATTATCCCATATTTTAACTATAGATTGGTTAATTGGTCGTCGTTTACAATTCACAAAATAACTATAAGATTATGTTATTATTTTATGATAAGAGCTAATAAAATGATATTCGACTATCTAATTATTATACAGTTCAGATAGATTATGATTCGTTTAAATTATAGATCTTTCATTCAGTATTTATATAGCGTCCTGGTTATCCCGAAAAAAAGAAACAAACTAACACTTTTGTCCCGGTAATATTGAATAATCCATTTCGTTTGTAACATATTTTAAAATTGTTTCAAAAAGTAGATAAATGTTTTCTTATTATTTGGAATTTTTAAATTTAAATGGCGATTAATTAATGATATAGGTATTGCGTTTATTTTAAAGGGAAAAAAACAAAATGTCACATCGAGGCAAAATGTTTACTAAGAATTTGTAACAGAAGTATCAAATATTTAATTTAATTTTTAATATACACCTTATACCTGTTATCCATAAATTATTATTAACATAGGTCCTAACATCGAATATTTCAATGTTTTTTCATCTACAAAAAAAAACTGTCAGCTGCTACTTACCTATTTAAGAAGTAAATATAACCTTTTATATGGTCGGATTATAACTTTTGAGTTTTAGGAAACTATGCCCACTTCCGTGCTTTAATTAACCTACTTGTAAATTGCAAGTACTTCAAACGTGAATATTGAGTGAGATTTCTATGTATAATCTGCACCAGTCTGTACCTACTAGAATCACGGAGCAGTCTTCTTTTTGTTCGATATTCATAAAACCACAGTATTTCCGTGTATTGTTATTTATTGATCATAACTCATAAGACTTAAATGTGTTATTGAACCATTGAACCAAAAAAAGTCTCTACGGACCAAATAAGGAGTATAACTCGATTTAAAGAAATCATAAAAATTAGTTTCAACAGATATAATAATTGTATGTTGCATTTTTAGTATCGGACATGATCTACAGCAATTACTTTACTATTTTGTTTGGTCTCAAATATGAAATAATCATATAAATAACATATTTGTGGTATGCACAATTCATACTTTCACACTTGTTTCGAAAACATGTTCATGGGAAAATAATGTAAATGTTCGACTTACTCGTGATCTTCGGCAGCGGTGATTTCGTCTTGATATTCGTCAGAATTTGGAACTTCTCGACGTGGTATCGTGTCTTCCGAATTGCACACCGTCGCCGTGAGGATACAACCGATCAATAAACCGTGCCAAATTATTTCCTGACACGCAATAACAACGGTTACAGAAAAATAATTGTTTTAAATTGAAATGAATTGTATGAAAAACTAAAATAAACACGCCAATGCGATGACGAGTGACGACATCTTTAAATTATTGTAATTTATACTGTTAAATTTAAGACTGCATACTATGGACATAATAACTATATAGATTATGATTTTTCAGTAAACTGACTCAAGTTGTCGCAACAGATGTAACTAGAAGGCGGCATCTATAATTTGATGTAATTATTAAACGCGAAACCGAAGAAACGTTGTCCGACCAACCGTTTGGATCTATATAGGAAATTACCACAGTCAACAATAATGTCGACCGTTAGTTTACTAAAATAAATACGCTCCATAGCGATAGAAATATTATATAATATGATGTGTATTTAAGTAATTCCTACGAGGAAACTTAGTTGTAATAATTGGCTCTAAACTCCGGGGAAACGAGCCAGTGGACAATGTTATAGTCTGTGAAATCATATAGATGTATGTATTAACGACAGTCTCAGTTGGGCCACCGAGAAATAAACACTAATAATAATAATTTTCATATATACCTATATATACAACTGCAGAAGATTTGAAATAAAATCAGGTACCCATTCCATGGACACGTTTTGTGATAAAAAAAAAAAATAATAATAATAACAAGACGGAAAAAACCCCAACGAATATCTTTCGATTTCTAAACGTTATACGATCAGACCGTTTCGAGAATTAAACGAAAAAACTATTGGCCTTATACATAATAAATACTCGTGCATTAAGAATTAAGATAATATACTGTACAAGGCACACGTGACAAGTTTTCTGTGCACGTTCACCCTGGTTCGATCGATATAACTATATATACCCTGGTATCTGATTTCGACACATTTCTCGGGACGATCGGGTGGAAAAACTGACCGTGGATAATCAACAAGTGATTATAGGTCCAGCGTTCCGGTTCCTAAACCCCGCGGAAAACTATAAGTCCGCAAACCGAATTCGACGACAACATCGAACGTGTGTAAACGCATTGGGGGGACCCGCAATGATGTCACAACAATTTTGTTTTCCTTTTACTATCGACTATCGTTTAGAATGAAAACAATAATAATCATAATAATATCAATTCCTATTTCAACAGATCACACCATGGAATGTTCGATACAAAACGCATATAGGTATTATATAAATTATCTGTTAACCATATTTTGTTCATAACATTTCATAAAAAGTGCAACGTATATAATAATATTATTGCGTACGCGGTACATACGCGTCATATTATATAGGTATCATAAGTTACTTATTAAAGCATTTAATCTGCGTGTACCTGTAACGCAAACACAGACATATTATTATAATAATATAATACTCTGTACGCAGTCACGCATTACAAATAATTATAAAATTTAAATACCACGTGGTCGTGTGTCTAGAAACTATAGAAAGTATCGAAATACTAAATCTGCGGTGAGGAGTATAACGTATGAGAATGACGTCCGGCGATCAAACTGCAGATAACCACGACCCTATATTAACCTCGACTACCAAAATGTATATACATCAAAGGCGATTTCTCGCTCCAGACATGCGGTTCGATCGATCGGTCGATGATCAACGACCGTCCAAACCCAGCAACACACAAATAGTATTTATTACGTTTTGTATGCAGAAAGGACACGGGAACAATATTATCATCGTCTTGTCCGATACGTAGGTATATATATACGCTAAAATCACAGGTCCGATACAAATATAATAATATAATGATTGGTATTTTGTTGATATTGAATGAAAGCGATGAATGTGGCGTGGACAGGACATGCTATGGACATGCACGCTGTACAATCACTCATCGTTTTTATATAAAAAATATTAGATGTTTGGCCGTCTTCTCCGTTGCGAAAAGATTTGAGGCGCACCCCTAAACCTTCGATGTTATTATATATTATATTGTGTATTAAAATTATACGTTTATATACTTTACCATTGTATGCGTTTGTGTCAACTAAAATTCATATACGACGACTTCGGTGTTCTATAGCTATTGTCCACAATATTATTACTGTTTACAGTGTAGTTTCGTATATTGTACGTATATAAAAATCTATATAGGTAAGCTATGTATAAAATCAAAGTTACTGAAAATACATATTTTCATCTGACGGCGGCGCACTGGGCGCGTACGGCATTGTTGTGGGAAACCGATGAAAATCAAGATGTCGACGAAAAAATTGAGTACCTACGCCACCGGTTATTATACTTTGTAATAACGTGTTATTCCGTAAAACAGTTACACTTTCAGGGTAAGTATCGCGATGTATTCGATAGGTAATAATATGACAGTATAATATACGCGTGTTTAGGTTCGGCCGAACGGGTAGACTACATGTGGACCCGAAGTAGCCGGCGTTTTCACTTTTAATCGCAATGGTGGTTTTCGCTATGAACGTGAGCCGGCGGGGGAAACGCTCGCGCCATCAGCGTGAGTTTTCCAGCAAAACCGTCTCGGAAAAACGGTTGCGCAAACACCGCGAAAAATCGTGGCGGCGTGTGCGTTGCAGTTCGCAACACATTTTGATATTTCTGTAATGCACCTACAACATGCGTATCATAATAACACAATATTCATATTACGCGTGTAGCGATATAATAGTGCCCGCTAGGGACCAGGGTGTTCATCCAAAGCCGCTCGAGATGATGATTATGTATTTGTATCTTATTATTTTCGGACGAGATTTTCTCGTTTTGTTTTCAACAATATCAATGCATACGTATACCGCGGCTGTAGGATATTACGCATAATTTGTCTTTAGTTGCTTCTTGCTTATATGTATATAAATATATACGCAAAAAAAAGGTTTTCCGCGGAGATAGCGCAGTCGAGATCATCTTTACAATAGGTGATATACAAAATAATATAATACAAATAAATACAAAATAATATACAACAGTACGATATACAATTTTTTAATCATTTCCACTATCGCATTGTCGATCCGATCGCTATTCATTTACTATACAGTCTAAATGCGTGGTGTTTATCCAACGAAATATTATTATAGTTAACAAACACGATTATATTACAACTGCTTAGACTTTAATTTTTTGTAAGTCGTGAAGTATACAAAAATATTAATATTATTAATTATATTAATTAAATATTACCATAACGTTTTAAGTTTAGTTATTAGCTTATAAATATTAATAACTAATATTATTACATTTATGTACAACAAATTACAGTTACTGAGTTACTACTTTAATATAACATTCTTTTTTTTAAGGTTTTCTATTTTTATTGGACTATCCTCTCCAATTTCGTCCAATTAATAAAAGTGGAGATATGTGTAGTTCCGAGATWAAATAAAATTTTTATAGTATAGATAAATATTGAGTAAAATAAAAAAATTATGAATGGAATTATTCAGAAAGAAATTTTATATTTTTTGAATGACAGTAAAATTATTAAAATAGATTATTTTGTTTATAAATGATATCCAGTTACACTAAAATTTGATAAAGTAGTCATACAAATATAATGTGGATTTACACAAAACTTTTTTATAAATTCTTGTAAGGAAAATGTATAAAAAACTTTGTATTGAATTTTCTGACCTTTGGTGTTATAATTTAAAAGTTAACAGTGTATAGCTACATAATAATTTGCAAATTTTCGCAATTTTTACGAATTTAAAATACTAATACAGTTGTTTTCACTATTACCTATTTTCAATATTTTTTTAATTGCTGAGTCAAAACTTGTAAGAAACCTGATATTCAATTTTTGACCATTTTTATTCACAAATAAACATTTTATCATACATAAGAAGAATAAAAACTAAATAATAGCCAAACATTTTAAATGTCAATAAATAATTCAATAAAACCAAATTTATTTTTTGATTTTTATTTAGTCAAAGAAATGCTGTATAAATATTTGATGACAATTCATAGTCTCAAAATCACATTTACTTGATTTTTTATATTAGGTAGATTATTAGTACCTACAACATAAAAACAAAAGTGAATTTTTATATTGGGTTTGTACAAATGTTCCCGTGTTCGTTAGTTTTTTGATTTTTTTGCAAATATCTTATAAGTAATATAATTTTGAAATTCCCATTGTCTAAGCTAAATCCAATTTACTACTAAACGTTTTCCTTCAAGTTGTGAGTTCAGTATTTTCCATTCTAAAAAGATTTTTTAGCCCCAATGAAAATAATCACATCTTTATAAAATCTATCATTATTTTTCGAAGACTTGAAAAAAATCTAACTCGAAGGCTTAGTTCCTGGAATTCCACTTTTCTGAACACCAACACACTGCCTATGCAGTGGATAGGGCTAGATCGTTTACAATCATCGTTATGATCGCCATATTATAGTATTATGTATATTATATATTATACAACATTATGTAATCTTATTCGGTACAAAACTTATCGTAATGCTTAACAGTTACTACTGTTAATGAATAAATAATGGATATTAAAAAAAAAAATCTTAAAGGCCAGTCGTGTGTAGACTGTCCACTTTATGTATAGAATATTATGTGATAGGTATTTATAGTATGTTATACACTACACTATTGATCTAAGTGTATTATCCGGCTCCGGTGTTCCGGAACAGATACGCTGTAGATATTATGCTTATAATTCGGTGCAGTCGAAAAAATTTACATTTATTCGTATGGATAAAATATGTATAACAATAATAATAATAATGTGCGTAATATTTTTTCAAATAATATTTATTCGGGTAGTCGGGTGTACATGACACAACATAATATACGTAAATTATTATAGAATTTCCGTTATTATATTACATATATATATATATATGCATTGTGTGCAAATATATTATTATATAGGTAACTATCAGTTGGTATAATGTACTATATACTATTTTTAGGAATTTCTTTATAAATGCAACGTGTGCCAAATAATGGTATATGATTGGCTATTGATTGCATTCAAAATAAACGGTACACGACTATTATTTTAGGATAACGCTGTAAACACACAATAGTGTACCTACCCATATAATAAACTGCGATTTTGTGGTGGTCCATATGCCAATAACCAATATAATATACAACCGTTTTTAGGTTACACACGCGTTAAAAGTGGCGGATCATTTCTTTCTCTCCCTCTATCTCGGTGCAATACAACACAATAATATTTTAATGTGTAATAGGTACGTGTATGAGCGAATGTGCAGGCGGCGACTGTACGTGGATTACAATAATATAATGTAGCCATACCCATACGTACGAGTCACCGGTTTTTGAGAAATTTCGTTTTGATTTTTATCATACACATATGGACCATAGCTCCGGAGAGGGTTTAGGGGGTTCAAATCCCCTTTAGCAAAATATGAAATGTAAAAATGTCTATTATATTCTAAAATTTAAAATGTTAATTTTTTAAATCAATTTTTTCTTAACTGAATAAATACTTAATATATATAATATTAAAGTAAATGTATACTATAGTGCCCAAGGTGTATTGATATAGTGCCTATAATGCATCATGATAATTGATAAGAGTTTAAATAATAAAAAAAAATATAGAAACAAATTAATTCCAATCATTGAATTTTTTACTATGTGGTTACCAGGAATTTCCTTTAAGAGTATGAAAAAAGTATGGACCCTCCCCATATAAAATTCCTAGCTACAACCCTGATACAAAGAAGGTATATATGATATGATATATAATATTTCTATTATCTATAGTCTGCACCCACATCCGACTATATATTATAAATATATACATGAATAATACCACATTATACATGTATCAATCATATATACGAAAGCTACTAACGTGTCACATTTGATTATCGCCGACTGAGGTATAAATGAGTAAAATTGTTTAAAAACAGCCGAAAAATGCGAAAATAAATAAATAAAAATTAATTATTAATTTCACTTGCAATTGAAACACATTTTTAACCAAGACTTACGGCATAATCTGTTTTTCAAATTTCTCTATCAACTTTAGTATCAAGTATTCAAGTATAAATATTTTAAGTTTGAAAACGTTAGGTATAGGTATTTTATATTTCAGTAGGTATATCAGCACAAAAATTGAATTTCTATATTGAAATGACACTTTTAGGTTTGAAGAAAAAGTAAACAGGTAAACATTATCTCATTTGGTGAAAACTGAAAAATGTTATCGGTGATATGGGATGATGGAGAATAGACAATTGAAAATTTTAGTAGAAAAGATGAACGATTATTTTTATTACTAAAATAAATTATATTATAGACAGGAATTTGAAGAAAAAAATATTTTTCACCTCTTTCTAAGCATACTTATTATATATTCGACCCAATTGAGTGGAGTAAGTTGAAAATTCCTGTCCCAGGCTAAAATGTTATCCACTGAATATACATTTTCTGTGTAATATAAGTTGGAACTTAAATAACTAAAAATTTCAATGTACAACGATTTATTTGTAAGAATAAAATATGACATAAGTATATATATTATACACCTATAATATCCTAATTCACCATCATATTGGGACTAGGTGTAATAGGTAGGCACAATTTTTTTTAATACATTGATTAGCTTTGCATAACCTATACAAAAATCAACAGTAAATGAAATAAATAGTAAATAATGCATCAAGAATTAATAGTTATTATAAATTATTATCCGATTATGAATCGTAATACCTTACAGTTTTCTATATAGGTAAAACATTAAATGTAAAATATTATAATATATTTATCGGTCGTTAACATTTAGCGGGTATCTATATTATATTCAAGTCACTGTCACTAAACCATGCTATAAATCGTACATGTAAGACGTATATATGATATTACCAAAAATTTGCATTATAAAAACTATATCTATATATATATATTATATACCTAATCATAATATTGTTTAGGTTGTTATGTGTGTTTTTTAATTTTTTATTCACGACAAATTTAAGGCTTCAAAAAAATGACCTTGGACCGTGACCAGAGTATCTACCTATACATATAATATAATAACATTATAAAAGGTGTACACACAAAAATTCGAAACTATAACAACCGGAAAAACGACGTTTTAGTGTGATGAAAGTAAACGTGTGTACTTGTCAGTTTGCAATTAAATATGATTTATACGCGTACAGTCGTATAGATAGGCCGTAAACGCTGACACGCACACTGCTCAAGACTTCGCAATACAATGTATAAATACAATATAGAAATATATGACATAATATACCAACGTGTATAGAGCATACTGTACCTGCATTATTCAGACGGGAAAAAAATTGTGGTCTCATATTTTATTCGAAATATCATATTATGTTAATATTCGATTTACCTAGTAGGAATTTAGGTAAACCTCGTACCTACTCGTATATGATGGTGGTATTATTTGTTTTTATTCTCAATACAGTGAAACCTCTAAATACCGGTCGCTTAAACGTCGTCCGCTATTTGGAAGTGCCCGCAATTAATAGGGGATATACAGTAAGTACAGATTTCACCGTACCCGAAATTCCGTCCGTTATTTGGAGGTGTCCACTATTGAGAGATGTCTGTTAAAGGAGGTTTCACTGTACTGACTTTATTTGATCATAATTTTGCCTTAATACTAAATACTTCTTCCCTTAATTTTTAACGATGTAGGTATTTTATTATAATTATTTTTATTTTTATTATAAATAAAACTAAACTGCAGTATTTTTGTTGTTCTTTATATTATTGTATTTAACATATTTCTTTCACTTTGATAAATGTTTATAAATTACAGCAGTCTCCCCTACACGTATAACTACATGTCTACATAATTTTATAGTTATAGTTATAATTTAAATTTTTTAACTTTTAAAAATAATTTACCTTTTGATAACAAAACCACTTTCCACTTATTTTGTTTTTGTTCACTTTTGCTTAGTTCAGATTAACTATAGGTTTTTAAAACCTCATTTTCAAATAATAATAATAATATTTCATTATTGGTATCATAAATAGAGTCTTCTAAGCATTGATCAATTTTTATTTAAGTATAACAATAGGTTTTAGGTAATCCAAAGATTATTAATTTTTTTAATAACACTAACAAGTAACAACTAATTTACAATCAACATCAATTTTAACTAACAACTATAATTAAATCAAAAATACTTTTAAAATTCTATTTTTAAATACCTACAATACAAAATAATAAAGAAACCTCATAATACAATATAATATATATAATATATAAATATATATATTTCAAGGAATATTTATGATTGTACTACCTTCATTTGTTTCTTCGCCGGGATATATTTTAATTTGAGAATCTGTTGACATCTGCATACTGCTGTCTATTAAAACTCTTAAAAAAACAATTTTTACAAATTATAATATATTATAATATATTAATATAATGTAAAAATAAGCTATAATGGAGTATAATTTATTATACCTCGGCTGCAACACTATGCAAAAATTTTGCGTTATTTGGGCCTGTTTGTTCTACCATTTTGTACAAATATCCATTTTTGTTTTTCAACAACGTATATGGGTGGTTGAATTCAACTATTGTACCAGCGTCCATTACAAGTATCTTGTCAGCATCCATAACAGTGTTCAAACGATGAGCAATCGTTAATACTGTACATGTTTGAAACTTATTTCTGATGGTATTTTGTATCAAACTATCAGTTCTAAAAATTAAAAAACACAAAATATTTCATAAAAGTATTATATGTTATGGAAATATTAATTTTATATTTTTTTTACTGTGGATCCACATTGGCAGTGGCTTCATCTAACACAAGGATTTTATTATTTCGTACAATAGCTCTAGCCAAGCATACTAATTGTCTTTGACCAACACTCAAATTAGATCCACCTTCGGATATTTTTGAGTTCAGTCCATCAGATAAATCTTCCACAACATCCTTAAGTTCCACCTAAAAATAATAATATTAAATAATTTTCACAATTAGTAGATACTTAGTGTCGTTATGTCTTGTATAGTTATGTGCTTGATAATTATTAAACTATGTACTTACTTCATCTAAAGCTTTCCAAAGAACATGATCTGGGTATTCTTCGAATGGATCTAAGTTTTTTCTCATTGTTCCTGAAAACAAAACTGGTTCTTGAGGAATGATGGACACATTAGATCGCAAGTCATGTAATCCCAATTCATGTATTTCTATACCATCAATAATGATGCTACCCTCGTTTAGAGCTAACCTAAATAGTGCTCCAATCAAAGATGATTTACCAGCACCAGTCCTTCCAACAATACCTATCTAAAAAATACGACACCATTAACAGTAATTTAAAAATGTATTACTCAGTAGTTATCATACTATAATTTAATAATATGAGTATCCGAGTATTAAGACGATGTACTTATAGTAACACTATGTGTAATTAGGAGACTCTCATAATTGCGTGAGAGGACTTACATTTAATGAGAATTAAAATCATTTTAAAATCTTTAATGTATTATTACTACTATTAGTTCATAGCTGTCAATTCTTAATATGTGAGAATTTACCTGTATTATTAACTATATAAATATTAAGTAAAAATATTATTGCGTCATATTTAACTCAAAGTTTCTTTACAATACAATAGAGCATAACTGTATTAAATACTAATTAGGTACTTCATTTTTAATATTAATAAATGTATTTATAATACATTTTTAAAGAATACCTTGTTATTGCTTCGCTATCTTCTAGACAAAAGTTTAAATGGTTTATATTGATATTTCAATATTATAAAATAATTTAATTAAAAAATAGTTAATACTTTTTCCGTAGCCTCAATTGTAACAGTGATATTTTTCAAAACAAATGGTGTTTCTGGGTCATAACGCAGATATAATTTGTTAAATATAATTTTTCCTTTATTTGGCCATTCTTTGGGTGGTTTTTTGTCTAAAAAATTGTTATGAAAAATAAAATACGTTTTTTTCAGTAAAAATGTATTGCAAGGCAATTTTGACAGCTATTACTTGGAGCTGACTCAAAAGCTGATTCTTGAGGTACATTTGTATATTCTAGAACTCTTTCAACAGATGTCATTTGATTTTCTAATTCCGCAGACAGTCTTACTACCCATTGAAACATGCCAGCTAATCCGATTGCTTGTGTGATAGCTAGACCAACGTTGCCTCCATGTGTATCTGGAATAATATAATTCTTAAATATTAATAAAATCAATTACTTATACGATGACTTAAATTTCATTATTACTAAATACTTACCATTAACAATCAATATGAAGAAAAACATTACAAGACTTGTATAAAAAATGCAAACAAGATCTAACCAAAGCCCAAATGCTCTACTTAAACTCATATATAAATACCAAGCTGAAGAATGTAAATCCTAGAATTTTTATAATATTACAATATAATTGGTAAAAATTGTATACTCGAACTTCAGTGAGTATAGGGTATTTTACATAATCGATAGATTCTTACTTGATGGCTCGAAAACTCTTGGAAAAGTATTTGTTCTACTTCAAATGCTCTTATTGTTGCCAATCCTTGCAGTGAGGAATTGACATGGGTAAACATAGGACTTCGTGCTAAATTGGTGATTTGCAAAGTATTGTACCGAAATGGTTAAAGATTAGTTCATAAATTAATAATGTTTAATGCAATTTAAAACGTTTACAAAACTTACCGACTCCTTCTAGACGTTTAACATTACGAGTGGTTTTCATGTACATTTTTCTCATTTTGAAAAAAATTACTACTACAGCTAATGTTGGTAGAATTAAATAGGCATTGACAATTCCCACCACTATTAGTATACCTAACACCATCAATCCAATCTAATAAAATTAAAATTAAATGTTGTATCATGATATACATTGAATTATATTGAGTAAGTACCTAAAGTATATAGATAGAAAAATAACAATTTATAATATATTTTACTTGTACAACATCAATGAATATTGGAGGCAACATTTCATCGATAACTCCTATGTCTTTTGAAAAACGATTAAGAATTCGACCTATTATTGAAGCGTGTGATTAAAATGTCATTGGAAACAAAAAACAAAAAAGATTTTAATATATACCTGATGGATTTTTATTCAAAAAGCTCATTGTTGCTCTTGTAATTGAATTGAACATTTGATTATGTAAATTTGAAGATGCTGAGGTGCATATAGATACCAGCAGAGCCAACTCGACAAAGGCAAATATGATAATTAAGATTGTAAGTATTGCAAATACGATGACACAAGTTTCCCTCGATACAATCCATGACATTAATTTGTCACTTGGAGGAATTGTTGTAGACGTAACGTTATCAGTAGCTATGGTTAGTTCAGTAACACGAAAATAATGATCTTCTAGATCAACCCTGAGGACAAATAATAAATCACATGATATTACGTCTTGCAGTACCGTTAAGATAGTTGTGGTTAGGGAATGAAGAATTTTTCCCGGATGGTTAATTTTTGTAGCTGTTTAATTTTTATAATTATTGTTAAGAAGACTTGTCTTATTTTTGTAACTTTAGTCGTGTTGGTAGTAATACCAATGTTACATATACAATCATATTACTCTTGAACCGATATCGTGTCAGTGTAGTAATAAAGTATAAAGTAGGTTTAAATATGTGTGTATGGGTGTATAAAATTAGAATATTGTAATAATGTAGAAACACTAGTTTTATATTTGTATTTGTTATGGGTAGAAAGGTATAGAAAAAAGTAACAATTTAAAATCTGACCACCAGAGCCATACGTTAACATGACACTGATCACTTCAGGTTTATGATATTTTATACATCAACAATATCAAAATTTTTTTTTTAAACAGTTATAAATAGGTACATATTTGACATTACCAATATGTTATCCAGTAATCACTGCCAGATACAAGTACTTGAGTTAAAATGCACACTGAAAATAGACTTAATACTTTGCAAAAACGACCACCAGCGAAAACATACGATGAATAGATATTAAATCCGACATTCCCCGAAGAACACGTTTCCGTGTTAACCGGTTGGACATGTACATTACTGATCTCGGTTTCTTTGACAGACGACGCACCATTGGAGACGATCAACTTTTGTGCAGTATGTGTGGAATGTATTTTAGAACTATCGACAGTGGATTTTTCACTTTTATACTCATTGTCAGTTAAAACTTCAGTTTTCGTTGAAGATTCCAACAATTTCGTAAAGTCTAAACCAGAGCTTTGAAGTTCTTGATATGAACCCTCCATTGTAACTTTTGCCTGAGGTTAAAAAAAAATTATAATCAAAACTTACTGGGTAATTCATCTAACATATAACACCTATTATTATTTCATAAAACGCTAAAATCTAGATAATATTTATTTTAATTAAATACTAATTTTAAGTCAATAAAAAACATTTTTTCTACTGTTTTTTATCTTCATAAATTTTTAAGATTTTTACTCTTTTTAATAGCTTCGTACATTTAAAATTCGGCATATTTTAATAAATGTTGGATAAGTATTGTATAATAGTATATGACGGGTGGCTGAGTTGCGACTCGCGTCCTATTAAAAAGAAAACCAATATTTACTTATTTATGTTAAAATACATAAAATTATAAAAATTATGAAGTGTGTTTTTAAGCATTTTGGCTCTTGATATCATTGTATTTAGTATTTATCCATGTGACTCGTGAACTTATTCATGTTGGCTACCCCTGTTATATGAGTTATAAGTTATAAGTTATAACATAAAGTTATACCTAATGTTATAACTTATAGGAAAATTTAAAAAAAATGTTAAGCAATTGAAAAAAAAATATTTTCAAAACCTTTGTAGTTTTTAAATATAATAAGCGTCTTAAGTTAAATAAATTACTCGGTATATTAAACAAATAATTATATAGCATAAGATTATATTATGTATTATTATGCTTACGTTTTCCATTAAAACAATTTGATCTACAGCAATCAAGTGTTGTATTTGATGGGTTATTAGTATACAAGTCTTTTCTTTGAGATACTCTTTAAATAAAAATAATAACAGATATAGATCAATACTATTTTAAATGAAATATAATTACAATTTTAAAATACAAGGGCAATAATACAACATAATATTTATATACCTACCTTTAATACATTTTTCAAACAAATGCTTGCCAACACGAGTATCCACCGCTGATAGAGGATCATCCAATAAATAAACATCCGCTTGTTTGTATATGGCTCTGGCGTAAATTATTACAAAATGTTATAATAATAAAAATGAGTTCATAAAATCATTAAGATAAAGCGTGTCAAKATTATCACCTAGCTAAATTTATTCTTGCTCTTTGTCCACCACTGAGAGACAATCCTCTTTCTCCTATAACCGTCTGATCACCATACCGAAATTGCTCAAAATCTGTTTTCAATGCACATACGTCTATTACCTAAATCCATAATCCAATGATGCAAATTATAGGTGCAAAGGGTACATGTAACCAGTGATGTCCCTGTGGGGAGAGCGGAGGGGACGGTCCCCTCGCCCCCCATAAGATAAACCGACTTGCATAGTAATTATTGGTAAATTTTACAATTTATATTAATTAAAGTACTTGACATAGTGTAACAGTGAAATAAAGAATATTGTCGTTTGTATATAAAACGTAAAAATGTGTGATCTATAAAGTTTATAGATTCAAATTTTTTTAATGTAAAATATAAAAATCACTTACTTTTTTATAACGTTGATTGTCCATTGGTGAACCAAAAATAATATTTTGTTTAACAGAACCTGAAAATAACCATGGTTCTTGTGATGCGTATGATACTACACCACGCACAGAAATACTCCCATCTATAAGTGGTAGTTCTTGTAAAATTGCTTGTATCAATGAACTCTACGACAAAAAAAAAACAGATCGTTACGATATAATATATTTTATTAATCACATCGCCTAAGATAACTTATGCATTGAATATAATAAATATACTTTTCCTGCTCCTACTGGACCAATTATTGCGACCAATCGACCGGGCGTTACAGTTAAATTTATATTTTCTAAGGTATTGTCAATTTGAGCATCTGTCCACTTGGCTGAAGCATTCGAAATGACTATGCTGAAATTACTTAATTTTACTGCAATATCGTTCTCATTACTTATGTTATTTGACACTATATTGTCGTTTATTGTTTTACTACAAACATCTGTTGGTAGATCTGTTGTTGGTTTTATTTGGTTTGTTGCTTGTTTATCAGTTTCTTCGTATAAAAGAAAATCCTAAAAAATGATTTGATTTTTTTAGTATACGGTCAGTAGTATTAGATATTATTATCTACAAATAAATCCATGTGCACCTCAATTCGTTTTATTGACACTAGTAATTCAGCAGTTAGACCAACGCCTGGTGGAAAGGTTACAAWCAATGTTCCTCGTAAAATATTATAATACGACATAATTACAAAAACCTAAATCCAATATAAAATTATTAAACAAATTTTATTTGAAAGTTGAAAATACAATAATATAATAAGCTATTGAAACTAAAGTATTACTTTTGAGGTGGTTATATTATTTCCAAATAATATGTATGTTAATATATTTACAAATAATGCAATTCTCGTGTTAAATAGAAAAAACGATGACAAAATTCCTTTGATGTAATCTGATTCTATAATTTTGTTCATTTCTTTCCTAGAATATAATAAACCATCGTATTTATTTATGTTTAAATTCGTCTACATTTATTAGGAACTTATATATTATATTATGTACTCGTAATAATTTCTTACTTTCTAGAATACTTAATAAGGTTATTAAAAAATGGTTCCCAAGTGTACATTTTTATCACTTGTAAACCTGAAATTATTTCATTCATTAAATGTACTCGTTTGTCCGTCCTTTCGGCTGTTTGTAATCGAATTTCAGACGTTTTTGATCCCAGCCATACTTAAATATGTCAAACAAAATAATTATTTTTAATTGCAAAGCAATTTGGTATACTTTAATTTTTAGTACACATTTGAACTTATAGAATCAATCGGTTTAAATAAATTACTATAGTTAATATGACTTCCATGCTATGAACAATAATTTTTAACCAAAGTTGAAAAACATTTAAATATTAATTTTTGATGGTGTATAGGTGCATCACAGTTTTTCTCCCGAAAAATAAGAGCGATGACTAATAAATAGTAGAGTTATAGATAGGTATAAGTATACTCTAGTGGTTCTTAACCTTTTTCAAATGATGGAACTCTTTACATTTTATAAGATTTATGCGAAACACAGCTGTAAAATAAGGAATAAATTTAACAATTTGAAATAGAATAGGTACTTTATTTGAGATATTTGAGCCAGATGACTATTACGTTTTCCAGTACGAAAATAAACCAACGAAACCTAAAATTATTATACAGTTATACATGACTTTTACTTTTGAGTTTTAGAAGTCCACAAATGTTTAAATGTTAGGACAATGAAACTAAAAATTTAATTTGCCTATACTTCATAGACTTTTTCTGTTGATTTTAAAATTTTGGCTGAAATCTTAAACCAAGTCCACCGAAAACCGGTTAAGAACTTTTGGTATAATTAATAAACTCGATATCTTTACAAATATATATTAATAATTTTATAAATGTATCATTATAAAATAAGTATATACATAAATATACATAGTTAGTATAAATACATAAATTAGATTCTGAGCGGAGCTATGAATGCATTAATGTGTATTTTTTTGTTGTSTCTGTTATCGCGCGTGTTTTGGGACAGAATGGAGCTTCGATTTTCTTCGACAACATATTTTATGGAAATTATGTAGGGGTAATATGATAATATAATTTAAATTTATATAGGATAGATATATTTTATCTACTAACTTTGTAATGGTATAAAAATTAGCAAAGTTGCAACACCAAATACTATTGACACGCCAACTTCTTGCCATAAAAAATATGTCACTACGATTGTTTCTATAGGACCAATCCATAGAAAAGGCACGTACAAAAGTGATATATCAAATCGATTTACGTCGTTAGACATAAGATTTATTATTTTACCAGCCGAAGCCTTATCGTAAGAATTAGATTTGAGTCGTAGCGACTAAAAATAATAATCATAATAATAATTTATTATAAAATTATAAATATATATTATATATATTGTAATATTTTTACTTATATTTCTTATAAGTTATAACTAAACTAACAATTGAATAATTTATATCGCATGTTTATTGTTTAAGAATTTGAAAATTAAAATGTCAAATGTGCTTGTTGTACAGATTGTTTTTGAATAAAAAAAAAAAAAAATTAAAAAAAAAAAAAAAAAAAAAAGAATTTGAAAATTAAAATGTACCTTTTTGTAAATAACATTGCAAGTCGCAACACGAATTTTCATTGCGGTATGAGATATTCTCATATCGTAAACATTATAAGAAATTGACTTCATTAATAAAACTGTTATTAAGCCAAATGCTAAATAAATTCCATCTGGGCTTTGATTAACTGATTTATTAGTTTCAAAATGTTCTACTAGTTTTCCAATAATAGTCGATATACCAATGCTATACATATAAAATATACATAAAAAAAAGGTTCTATGTATAATGAATCAATTGTATACCAAATCTATAGCTATATAATAATACAATTATTATGCATACGATATATCTAAATTTTACCTACCTACAAAAAATTTCAAGTATTGTTATTAGAATTCCTGTACAAAGAAACTTTGCTCCAAACATTTTATTTAGTGTTCTCAAAAAACTCGGAAGTTGGTTTTTCTCTTTTGAATTTATCAATTCCTTTTTCCATAACCTTGCAAAAAATTCAAATAAGCATATTATATATATATATACAGTTGCCAGTTTATATTTGAACTCGTTACATGCATGACGTATAATTTACTTTTCTAATTTGCTTCCCAACAATTCAGATGAATCATTTTCCAAAATTGTGTACAAATCGATTAAATCTAATTCTTTTTCCAATCCTTTTTTAATGAGTTTTAAGATCCAACTAAAAAATAAATGTACATATATATATAACATTATATTATTATAGTTAATATATCATTAATACTTAAAATAACACGGTGTGTAATATGTAGCAATAGCATTAATTTACATTTTACATATTTAGAGGTTTTGTCATTGTTATAAAAAATTCTTGGTAACTAACAAATACATTGTAAATTCGTAACATACTTAGTCAAAGCAAAAAAAAAAGTTTCAATATTATTTAAATTGACCATAATAGTTTTGAAAATACATTCAGTAAGAAAAGTATAAAATTCAATGGTACCTATACTATTCCAAAAGCGCAAATTGCATAGTTTTTAAAATAACACAAAAGGGCAACTGATTTTTACTTAGTACCTTTAGTATTAACAGTGAGATAAAAGCACATAATTCTATATAATATCTATTTTATTATCTGGTAAGTACCAATAGAATATAGATTATCATAGTTAAAACTAGTTGTTTACTAATTTTAATTTACTTTCAGAATTTCATGCTCATCCAACAGTAATTTTTAATATATTGTTTTAAAAAAATAGTTACTTTTAATAATTAACCTACACCACCTTCACCACAATACCTAAATATAGTAATATCTCAGTCCTAGGTAGGTTATATTATTATGTTATATCAATAGTATTTTAATTATTTTTACCTACCTTATGCATTAATAATTGTTATTCATAACAAAATGTAACTAATTTACCTAAAAGTAATAATTTCAAAAATATTAGCTTGAGCTCTTGGATTCGATGGTTTTTCTTCTTTGAAAGTTGTATCCATATTTATGATCTAAAATTATAAAAATATTTATTGTATATATATGATTATTGCAGTCTTACATATTTAAAAAAAAAATTATTATCTATTATTATAACTTATAAGACAATAATATCGCAATTATTTTATTAATATTATTATCTAGGTATTTATACTACATATGCCCTATATGAATATACGATGTTTATGATAATACTAGCTGAACCCGTGCACTTCGTAGCCCGTTAAAAATCCTTTTTTTTTTTGTAATTAATTTAATTTAAGAAATCACGGCACCACTTACGCTTCAAACGCCTCGGAGGATTTCCAGGTATCGTGGGAGTGGTCAAGTTTTTTACAAGTTGATTTGGATGATTATTTAGGCGGCAATGGAATCTTTTATAAAATATTTTTGCTTCCTCATTAATTGTTTTGAGTTTTAAGTCAGTGTGTAGTGTATGATTTGAAACATAGGGCGGAGCATTCATCAGTTTTCTAAGTGCAATATTTTGAAAGGTTTGGATTTTYTGAATATTTGTCTTTTTCGCATTGCCCCTAAGTTGAAGGCCGTAGGTCCATAATGGTTTTAATAGAGTTTTGTGTATAAAAAGCTTAGTTTTAGTGGGTGTGTATTTATTATTGCATAGTATAGGTTTAAGTAAGCGGAGTCGATGATTCAAAGCTAATCTTTTAGTTCTGATGTGATGAGCCCACGTTAATCTTTGATCAAGAATAAGGCCGAGGTATTTGATTTTTGAAGAGTAGGGAATCGGAAGGCCGTATAGAACTACACCAGGACAAGGAGTATGTCTGAGGGTAAATGTTGTGTGAACTGACCTATTCTGGTTAACTTTAAACCGCCATTTTGTGAACCATTTTTCCATAGCATTAAGGTGAGTTTGTAGGTTTATTGATGCTATGATTRGATCTTTGTTGATGGATATTAACGCTTTGTCATCAGCGTAGTCAGCTACTTATGTATTGGTGGTAGTAGGTTGGTCAGAAGCAAAGATATTATAAAGAATTGGAGATAAGATACCACCTTGAGGTACGCCAGCCTTTATAGGAGCTATATCAGAAAGAGCGGAACTGTAGCGAACTTGAAAATTTCGATCCGTTAGATAGGATTYGATGAGTAGGTAGTAAGTGGRTGGAAGGAATTTCTTAAGTTTATATAAAAGGCCATCGTGCCACACCCTATCGAAGGCTTGTGAAATGTCTAGGAAAACACAATTACAATAAAGTTTTTTTTCCAGGGAATACGATATGGCATCTACGACTCTGTGTAATTGGTGTATGGTTGAGTGAGACGTTCGAAACCCGAATTGGGTATTTGGAAGAATATTCTTTTCAGTAATGATGGGTATAATACGTTTTAGAATTAATCGTTCAAGGATTATTTCTTAGCGCCTATCTCACCGCCTATAATAAAGTGATTATTAAATGTGCTAAAATAGTCAGAGAATTGTATATTAGTAACGAATAACGATATGTTTAGGGGGAGAGTATATGGCAGCAATAGTGAGTGGTGTATTTTTTWTTTTTACTTTAATAGCACAGGATTGGAGATAAGCTTGTGAAAAACTAGGCAAGGAATAAAATTCTATAGTGGATTAACAAAAATAGCAGCACCACCGTGCGCTGTGTTATCTGGATGATTTGTTTTAATTAATGTATAGCCAGGAATATGGACATATACGAATATTTTGTGAAATGTGTCTCAGAAATGAGAGCGATATCAATGCGTTTGTTGATAAGTACAGATTCGAGTTYATGGACATRGTTTTTGAGTCCATTAGCGTTAAATTGTAATATTAAGAGCGAGTTGTCAGTGACGGAATTATTATAATTATTAGCCATTATTTGTCAAGGAGCTTGGATATTACTTTAGTCAATAGAGCTATAAGTGGCGTTAAAAATCCTACCTCTTATATGTCTCAACTTTCAAAATGTGTGTTACATATTTCATTTTACTATCAAATTTATATTTATAGTGTTTTATTTTAATTTAACTATAAACAAAGAATAAAATAAACTTTTTTATACCCAATGTTCAATGTTGATGAAGAGGGCAATTGCCTAGATGCTCCCCTGTTCCCCTAGATTGTGCCTCTGTAGCTAATGCCTATAGTTGTATTATAGCCTATAGGGCTTATAATTAATAAAATCAAAATAAATAAATATAATGTAGTGATTTTAATTATTAATACCATGTATTTATGTTTTATATTTGTGTTATTGCCATGTACGAAAACGGAGACCATTTTTAATTATTTGAATATCTTGTAATTGTAATAGCAGTTAGTCTATCTGTCACCATCCACCGAGTTAATAGACCGTGCAATATGTTGTAATATAGACATTATCTTTAAATGCTGTCATTGTTTTTTTTCTAAATTAACATCCTGACGGTCGAATGATAAATGTTACCACCATATCACTAAGTTAACAACTCTTAATCGAATATCTCAATGTTTTTCTTATACGTACCAAATATTAAATATGCCACGGAACCTACTATAGGAATTAATTGATATTCCTTTTTAAATAAAAACTAAATTCAAAAATAATATTAATATTATATTATACAACGATTTTATTTCACTGTTATGACAACAATGTAAATGTATATACTACATACCAATATACCAGGCAGTGCCGACGACGACACAGCATTATTGCAGCAGCCAGCAGACGTAGGAGTTATAGTGGGGGTTGTAAAGATGTGTAAGTGCACACGGAAAGCAAGCGCGTCGCTATACGTAGGTAACAATTTCACAAACTTTATAATTCCAATAACTATTGAAATAATTAATTTTTTGGACTTTTCTAATTAGATGACTCATCTACACACCAAATACTTGCGTTTAAAAAAAAATCGTGAAAATCGGCCCGGTAGAACTTCAGATATAACTGCCATAAGAAATCGCCTCACGTTTTAATAATATTATAATAGATTGTATTAATGATATATGATAGTAATATAATAATTTCTGCCCAAAATACAATGTCCCAGGTAAAAAATTATAAAATAAAAAGTTAGGACTGCATGCAATTTTTGATAAATTATTGTTTATAAACAAGAAAGATATAATGTACGTATATTAAATAATAAACTAACTAAGATACCCGTCATATGATATTTTAATATCTTCCACTATAAGCATCGGCATAAATTTAAAATAAAATAAATGCTTTATAGAAATCAATATTGTACAAGTAGTAAGTTAGTACCTACTTAAATAACACGTGAAGATTATACTAATCTATATTAAATATGTATATCAATATGTGTATTACCTACAATACAAATAATATTAAGAGCTCAAAATTTAAAACACCTGCAATACTTGAATAGGTACTCATAGATAATAAAATATTTAAAAGATAAAGCTATAGATTTGTTTATTTATAATTATACCTATGTACATTTTTTCGTTAATATCAACTTAATACTTTGGAAAAATAATAAATACAATAAATTAAAAATATTAGTAATAATATGACATATTTCTCATTGTTATGTACGGATACATATGCATATAAAATTTAAATAAGTAGATGAGAAAAAACCAAAATTGAATAAACGAAATATATATAATTAAAAAATAAATAAATATTATGTCATATAATTATGTAGGCAGTGTATTGTGTATAAAATGAGAAAAAAAATTGAAAATGCTTTTAAAATAATCTAGAAACCAATTCGAATATACCTTTCATTCCGACCGGGGAACCATTTTGGACGTTCGGAATAATAGAGGTTATTGAATGTAAATATTTTATACACCTACCTCTTAAAAGTCAAATAACAATAAAAATAATTTAAACATTTTTAACCTATAATATTTTATAAATAAAAAACTTACATTTGTAGATTTCTTGATTCAATCAACGCATATATGTGATTTTTTAAGGTAAAATAAAAAAATATATATATAAATACATACAAATAATATATCATACAACCGATTAAAAAGTAAATGAAACAAGTCCAGAAACGTTAACATCTACCAATCAATTGATCAAAATTTACTTTAAAAAACAAATTAAAGATTTAGCCAACTGCCTCGACTATTGTCAATGACAAAAAAATCATAAGCATCATACAAATTAATTGTGGTGGGAATCTTATTAAGTATAAAAACTCTGTTGGATGAGACAATGGATGTGCGCATACTACATAGTATAATATACTATATATATTTATTGCGAAACCTATATTTTAATTTATATACAAACCTAAATGTTTTCCTGTATTATCTATATCTGTATGATTAAAATGAACTTAATAGTTTTTATACAAATGTATTATATCTTAACAACAGGTTAGAAAATACATGCAAATAACAACTTATGTGTGTTTTGAAAATTATAGTTTTAAAAGTTTTAATCATAATTAATGAGAACTTAAAAATAATTGTTTAATACTAACTTTGTAAGGTAGGTTAATAGTAATACGTTTGAGGCATTTATCCAGGAGATAGGTAGGTCCACCAACAATGTCTAGCTCCCCACTGTAATTTTCTGAGGACCTTTCCATTGAATCGTGTTCTTTGATATATAGGTACATGTAGATATTAATTCTCATTCTGGCAAAGGCCTTATCATAAATAATGTATAATAATGATATATATATACTTGTGTTAAAACATCTATAACCTCAAAATATTTTCATATTCGTTTCCGCATGATAAGCATAAAATAAATGGCCTATCCATTCTTTAATATCCATGGATATTATATAGGTAATAAAGATAAAAATAAATCCTGGCTACATTCTGAGTATCACACGCATGATGTTTTTTTCTAAAGACTAGTAAGGATGTTGAGCTAATAGTAATAAAATAATTATTTTCTTAATACAATACCTACTACAATTCTACAAACTATTACTAGAGCGTCTAAAGTCAGTATAGAGGTGAGTGGTCATTTATAGAAATGTATCTTCATGAAGAAGAACATAATTTGTGACCCCTTAGATAACCCCATGTACCTACGTGCCTGATTATAGGTAGGTAAAAACTAGAAAGCTATTATTATCGTGAGTAGGTACATACCTACATATTATTACATACCTATACTTATATACTAGTAACTTTATTTACATTTTCAACTCTTAGATGAAATTATGAAAAAATGATAAAGTACTATGCAAAATGCAATGAGTGAAACAACAAAAACACAAGGAATGTAGCTTAAACCTATTGCAGTAGGTATACGAATATCAATGATAATTATTTGTATGTTAAATTGGTATTTATTCAGATTTGATTATAACTCGTGTTCACTGTTCAGTGATCATGTTGGTAAATTTATTTAACTTAATACTATTTTAAAATATCACATATCGATGTCTAGGCATACCATAATATACCTGATATACTTTCGTAGGTAACTCGTAAGTAATCTTAAGGTGGGTTGTCACTACATAGTACACACGTTCGCGCAAATCCTTTGCTGTGATTGGTTGGTTGAGTTAGGTTACCACATGATTAACCACTTTACTATGTTGTTGGACATAGCTGAACATTTGACGTGTACACGGCACACGCGTGAAAACCAGCCTTTAATATATAAAACGTTAATATATCAATAAAATAATTAGGAATAATTTTATAATCTCCTCAATCTTTAATGCTCAACAAAATATTAAATAAACTCTGTATACTTTTTCCTAAAATCTAAATCCACTATAGGTATATATATAGTTATAGGGTTAGTATGTATATAAATTATGACGTTTGTAACTCATGAAGTCACGACTCACCGCGTGTTGGTAAGTGTACACATTTTCATTATACAAATTTATTAAAAATTAATAAATGATCCATGGTTGATTTTCACTTTTCCATGTACCTAGAAATTCTAATTGATTTAAAAAAAAAATAATTTGCTTATTTAAACAATTTAAGAACTAACTGTTGTTTAATTGTTTGTAAATGTAATACTGTTTAACTGTTTAAGACTTTAAGCATGTAGGTACTAATGTTTTTTTATGTTCGTAATATAGTAATTAATACGGGCGATTGTAAACTCATCCGATTTTAATGGCATGTAAACTCTCCCGATGGTAAACTCTGCCGGGCTTAGTCCAATACTACCTGACGGGAACATGTAAACTCTCCCGGGTCTTGTTCAGTACTACCAGAAGAGAACGGCTGAGGGTGAGTTGCGGCCCGACCTTTCGTTTCCGGTGTTGGAGACCGGTGAATTCCGGCCCGATAATATTTTAGGTATTGGTTAGTTGCGGCCCGAGTAATCATCATTACATATGTACCTTACTTATTTAATATATATTAWATTATATACCTATTACCTATGTACCGTATAAACGAATAACGATAAACGAAATGTTCAATACGTATGGGAAGTTATATTTTTGTATAGGTATATTAATATGATAAAGATAATATAGATCGTTTTATCGTATTATCTACCATAGTACTATATTATATGACTTACATTATGAATGCTTTGATTTTTTTTGGACATTATTATCATAATATATTACACCAATTTATTATACTTTTATTTTTTTTTATTATTTATTATTTAATATAATGTCATAATATTAATATATTATATTATATTCTATAATTTTATGAATACTTTTATTTTCTTTACGACCAATATTAATATAAGAACGACAATTTATACTAGAAAATACCTACATAATATTGTGATGTTTATATACTATAACTATATATAAACATGTAGTATATAATATATATATATACATTATTGTATGGCCGCAACTCGTACGTTATTTAGGGTTTGGGCCGCAACTCACCAACACTGAAGAGAACATGTAAACTCTCCCRGGTCTACTTCAGTACTACTAAGCTAGTTGGGGAGCATGTGGTATTATTCGTTTTACACAGTAAGAATATTGGTTGAGCCATTATAGTCGATATCGTTTTAAATATTTTAATTAAAAATACTCTAACGGTAATTAATAATATTTAAATGACAAATTCAGGTTAACACAAGATAAATACAGATTAAATACGGTAATACAATTCATAATAAAAATTATAATGACAATCTCTGCAGTGTAGCCAATTCATAGAGTAACATTTAAAATAACTTGGGAGAGTTCGCACATTTCTTTCAGGTAAACATAATATTTACCCGGGAGAGTTTACTAGTTTTAAAAATCGGGAGACTTTACCATACAATCGGTAGTAAAGTTTACCACCGCCCATTAATAGTACCCTAATTGTAGGAGTAACGCAATCAAGTAAATAGTAATTTTAAGTTTCATCTCTTTTTTTCCTATCTGCATTTACTACTTTAAAAACTTTCTTGATAGGTATATACGAGTGTATGACACTATTGTCAGATAGTAGGTATTAGTTAATTTTCATTAAAAATAAAAATCTTCTCTGGGCTTACCTAGGTAGGTATTATTGTTAGTTCCCGGTTAATACCATTGCACGTTATTTATTTTCTAATTCTAATTTAAACGAAATTATTTTTTATTTATTTTGTATAGAAATATCGAGTATTGACGATGTAAAGGGGTTAAGCGACTACTCAAGCTACGGCTATTATTTAAGGGACAACATTTAGGCAATTTCTAATCTCATCTAAGCCGCCCAGGATCTGTTAGTTTTTAATTATTATTAGTGTGGCCATGTGGGAACCACTCTAGTAAGTGTATGTTCATATCAATAACTTAATAACAAATTATTAATAATATATAATTCATCGGAATTACGAATTTTACGACAACTTATCTATTCTTTGACAAAATTAAAGTAAGTTAACGTTGTCTGATTTTGACTCTGAAAAAATTGTTTGAATTCAGCAGAAATTTGCTATAATTATTTTATAATAAAAAGCAAATTAAAAAAAATAAATCAGCAGAAAAATGTTAATAGATCGTACAAAACATTTTACTTTATATTATTTTAATTGTCATTTAAAAAAATGAATACTCGTGAGTTTTCCTAAAATGTTCAAATTGATATAAGATTACATTTCAAGTATTCCGTACGAACAGACAATTTTTGTAGTTCAAATTATTTTTAGAATAAAAATAGGATAATAATAAAAACGTAAGCTAACTTTTATTTTGTCAAAACTAAATATCTTCTTGGCTAATATTTACGGTAATTCCTTTTACCTAGAAAAGAAAATCACTTATTAATGTTGTCATTGGTAATACAACTATAATTAGTAATAATTGATAAATGTTTGGGAAATATCCATGTTCGGTCTAGATATAAACAGCCAAACAGGAATTTTACACTGGCTGCGGTGATATAATTTCATGTAATAGGTCTACTAATTGGCTACAAGATAAGATATTATCTGTTAAATTCAAAATGGACTTATAAATTAAAATATTAAATATACAAAAAAAATATAAATGTAAAATAGTAAAATGTAAAATTAGTAAGTAATAAAGTATCAAAAGGAATAAATTTCGGAAACCTGGATTTTTTTACTCATAACCAGGGCTCGGAACTTTATGCATTTGCATCTTTCTCAGGAAGCGGCATATTTCAAATCTGATTCGATATAAATACATTTCATTAACCATACAACTGAAATACAAAAATTTATATTGCATATTTAAAGATTTTGAGTATATAAATGCATTTTATATTAAAAACGTATTAGAAATCAACAATATACAAATTTTCAATAATTGAATATTGTAAATTTGTAAATTAGGTAAGTATTAAAGTTTCGTAAAAAAATTTGGTAAAATAACACGTTCAAAATAATTTAGTGTGCTTATATTAAAGTATATTACTTCAAATTTTAAAATCCTTTCTGAATCAATTTTAAAACTGCAGACTAAAAACATGCATTTAGCCTAATCGTTGAGTATTGTGGATAATGTTCAAACACAATTAAAATCCGTTCAAGGTGAACCAGGGAAAAAAGTCTACGAAAAAATATTGGTTTAAAAACACATAAACAAATCTCGTCAATACTTAGTGGATCAATCTCCACCATGGATGGTCTTCCTGAAGATCTGACAACAAATTACCTTATTTTCTACAAGTACACACCAATTACGTCCGTGGATGTCGTAAGATCATTTTCTGTTTACAAAAACCTTCTGAGCCACAAGTCCACAACAGACGATCATTTAAACTCAAAAATATAAAAGCATCTTATCATTCAGTGTAATTCAGGTAAATATAGCAATTCATACTTAACATGATTTAATAATTAATGTATTTGATAAATTCTATTTTTTTAATTTAGGATTCCTAGAATAGATTCAGTATAACGGCTTCAAATCATCAGAATAAAAATATAAATATAATATTTATGATTCAAAAATAATTTTTTTTTATAATTAAACTTTAAAATGTATCTTTTTTATAAAATAATAAATGCATATATGAGTTTTTTTATTGCATATGTATGCACATATTTCATTGATTTTTGGTGCATAGAGTTCCGAAMACTGCTCATAACTCATAAGTAAACGTCACACCATAAGTTTATAAATCTGATTGGTCAAGGGGGTAGGCCCCTCAGAGCTGACTCCCCTTAAATCCGTTACTGTCAATAATACTAGAGGCCAACAGTCTTCACTGGTTTGTTCAGAACGCATTTTGCGATCTCGTTATCCCATGAAATTATATCTATATAATTTTAAAATATATACATGTATTAAGTATTTTTTTTAAATATAAAACAATTAACTATAAAAGAACATTTATTTAAGAGTATAAAGTAAAAAATATCATATATTTTAATATATGCTACATAATTTTTAGCAGAGCAGAACTAACTTGAACCTTTTTTGTTTACATTGAAAATCAAAATATTAACCTAACTATGAAATTTATTCCAAAAATATTCTTAGTAATGATTTGYGACTTTTTTCATAAGTATAGGTATGCTATTATTTTTTTATGTTATTTAGTTTTACCGAGTTTTTGTACACTAGTGTTCATAAAAATATTGTGATATTTTATGGCACCAACCAAAAAAAAGTTACTTATTGCATTATAAATCTAACATGGTGACTTCCATGATGTTAAATTTGCTAATGAAAATATAATTGGTTGATAATTTAACAGCTAAAGTAACTTATTTTCAATTCCTGATTAATAAATATCCAACCTTTATTTATTAATACTAGGCATTACCTAAATCTATCAGGTAACTAATAATTGATATTATATAGTATTTGATAAATTATCTATTATTGTATTAGGTTTTCCAAGGCAAGTGGACAACTTTGTCTAGGAAATCTACTTGCAGATAATACAAAATATACTGGAAATTAAGAGCAATTCATAAAAACTAATTTGAATATTACACAATCATAATCTAAACCGATGTCCCGGACATACCATTTTTACCACTTGGTGACTCCCAAATTAATAATCAAAACAATAACATTAAGATCATATGACCTTGATTAATATATGTACTCACATAAAACATAATACATTCTAAATAGTATAATATTAACCTTTGAAAGTCAAATGTTATATTTGGTTGTCAATATATTAGTATACTATAATAACACACAAATTGCAATGAATTAATTGATCTTTAATATTTTAACATACTGATTTCTACTATTGCAATTAATGCCACATCAAAATAACAGTTTGATACTTAATTGAGTGAGATGCATTAAAATTGATAAAATATGCTTTTATACTGTCATATATAGCCCTAATATTTTAGTTTTGTATACTTTGCCAAGAAAAGTAAAAATACAATAAATAAATACAATTTTGAAAATCTAAGGAAAAATATAATATATACCTCAGATTATATGTATTAATTAATGACATTTATTTAAGAAATTAATATTATGTGCAATCATGTATGGGTAGTAAGTAAAACATCAACCACAAAAAAAAAAAAAATTGTCTTATATTTTGAACTAAATTCTTAAGCAACAGAATTATTTGTTACAATTAAAACATAAAGTAGCATATATATAACTAAATATTGTTTAAATTGTATGATTAAAGAATTATTACATATAATTTACTTAGTTGCCTATTTATTCAAAATGTAAAAGTATATTATTATGAAGTTTAGACAAAAAAAAGTTTTTTGAACGACTTGAAATATAATAGCATTTACTGAATGTAATATAAAATGCTCCTACAATAGTTCAAAAAATTCTTCTTTATATGAACACTTGCTTATAATTAAGTATGTATAAAAAAAATAAGGTTTCCTACAAATTAATATTACACACACACACACACATAGATAGTATAGCTAGTTATTATTTTTTTTTTTTGAAAAAAAAAATGTATATGTAAAAAGATAACCCAGGAAAATTGTCAAACGAAAAAAAATACAGTTGAGAGGAATGTGATGGATGAATTAGGCTCTTTCACCACGGATACGTCTAGCCAATTGAATATCTTTAGGCATAATGGTGACACGTTTGGCATGGATAGCGCATAAATTGGTGTCTTCAAACAAACCAACCAAGTATGCTTCACTGGCCTCCTGAAATAATTTAAATTAAGATATTAGAAAATGTATGGTAAATTTAGAAAGTGAATGAATAGCATAACTCAATAACAAAATTATGAATTTGAAATGATGACACATTAAAAATATGAAATTATTCAATTTAAACCAAAATAGAATCCTCCATTAAAAGAAATTATCAACAGGATATTAAAACAATAATATAAACAAAGCTTAGAGAACACAATAATACCTGCAAAGCTCCGATAGCTGCACTTTGGAAACGCAAGTCGGTCTTGAAATCCTGTGCAATTTCTCTGACCAAACGTTGGAATGGTAACTTGCGGATCAACAACTCAGTGGACTTTTGGTAACGACGGATCTCACGGAGAGCCACGGTACCAGGACGATAACGATGAGGTTTCTTCACACCACCAGTGGAGGGTGCGCTTTTCCGGGCGGCTTTGGTGGCCAACTGTTTACGGGGAGCCTTTCCTCCGGTAGATTTACGAGCGGTCTGCTTAGTACGAGCCATGGTTCAACTGAAACATATTCGAAAATCAAAATCGTCTGCATTCTAACATAGAATACATAACACTCGAGGTAAAAGCGGTGTAGGAAGACGAAGCATCCGTCGAAAACAGAACTTAACGTCGAAAGTATGTCAGATTGGTGAGAAAAAATATATCGAAACCCGACCGAGATGTTAGCATTCCGAAAAAGTAGCGAGTCATGACGGCCAAATAATGGACATCGCGTAATGGCGAAAGCTAGAGAGCAGACAGAAAGGTCCGCACGGAGTTTTGAAATTTACAATTCTGATAGTACTTACTACGCGTAATCGGTGTCTTGATAAATCAAAAGATGAAACGAACGGCCGTTGAGCGATGAACTTAAAAAAGAGTGACGTTAGAGAGCAGAGACGGACCAAAACACAACAATAAACTGCTGTGGGGATTACACAATACACAATGGCGACGGTGGACGGTTTGTTTGTAGTGGAGAGGTCGACGTCATTGAACACTGCACTAGCAAACGGGTGACAGTAACAGGACTGCCGATTGGCCAATAGTGGATCTAACAGGCCACGCGATTGGCGAGAATAACGGCCACGGCGATTGGGTGGCGTCAACTCATCATTGCCAACATGATGTTGGCGCGTTTTTTTCCCACCATAATTTTACGCGCCAAAATTGATAGTCAGAATAATTGTTTGAAAACTATTTGATTTGCGATTTAAGTATTTATTTACAAATTAGAAGTGTTTCATCAGCAAAATACAAAACACATAAAACTCTTTACTTGAATACAGTCATGAAACGACTATTGAAATGTTCAATTATTGAATTATATAAAATGACAAATACTCACAGTTCATAATCAAATCATCCAGTTGGTATAATATACATATTATGTAATATGACCATAGCGCACATTTGTTAATTTTTAATCAATTTCTGCAAAAAACAATAATTAGATGAATATGGACCACCTACTAATAAAGAAGAAAATAATAATATTCAATTTTAAACATATTAAATTATACAGGGTGATTCATTTAACATAGGACACCCATTATTTCCAAAAAGTATTAACATTTTTCTCATTTTTATTTTTAAACATAAAAATGTTTTAATAGCCTAACATTTTTCATAGCCCCTATTATTTAAGTTTATATTTTTATAAGTAAAACCTACTTTTGATTTTAAATGGCAACCTATGAATAAAAAGTATGAAATGTTTAAACTATTTTATTTTTTTTAAGAATAATAAGGACAAGTGTAGATATATATAAAAATGCTTCTTCTATATTGTATTTTGAATTGGCTATATCTGAAAATCTACTGAATCGAAATAAAAAATTAAAACGCAGAGATCTTAAAAAAAATATTTTTAGAATATGTTAGAATTAAATTTAATAATGCATTTAAAAATCCAAAGTTGAATCATATATATTACATAACAAAAAAAATAAACATTCTAGGAATATTAATTATATGTAGATTTCATTAAATTTCAACTTTACCAAAAAAATAAAAATGTTAAAACTTTTCAAAGTAATAAGTGTTTTACGTTAAATGGATCACCCTGTAGATAAACAATTATTTAAACATAACACTCACTAAAGAGTAACAATTAATAAGTCATAATTAGGGCTCGGGACTTAAAGCATTTGCTTATTTTTTTGGATTGACTTAAATGTAGCATAGTGCTATGGAAGTGTATGTCATGTTATAATATGTTTAATTATGAAGTTTGAAAGTGCTTTTTTTCGATTGTTTCCAGCGATTTTTAAAAAAAATATGCTTATTTCCAGTTTTTCTGATTAGTTTTGCTTATTTGACCAGTATTTCTACATTTTTATAATGTTTTCAACTATGATTAATATTGTTTACATTTCATTTTTCAGAAAGTCCCTCGTAAAATCCATAAAATCCTTAAAGTCTCGAAAGTGAAGTTAAATTTATTTTATAATATAAAGATAAAGATTTGTTTATATTTTGTTTGATTTTTCAGTTAAAATTTTTTAGTTTTTAGTTTTTTTATAAATATGTATGCAAAAATTTAAGTTTTTAAATGCTTATTGAGTGCTTATAATGATGTTTTTAAGAGCTTTTTAAGCACTTATTTTAATGATTTTAAGTGCTATAAGTCCTAAGCCCGGGTCATAATATATAATTAATAATAAATAAGTAGTATTATATTTATAAATTTTTTGTATTTATGTTATAAGAGAGTAATTATTGAAGATAAATTTAAAATAGTTTGATTAATGTCTTTCAAGTTGGTAAGATTTTCTAAACTTGAATAAATAATTGATTAATAATTAATCAATGTATCAAAAAACATATGAAAAAAAATTATTAAAATTGATAATTAATTTTAAACACAATTAATTCTAAACTAATATTAATGTGTAAATATTTGGTCAATATAAATGTGGGTGGTGGTTACAACAGGTCTACGCTGATTATTTAGATAATACTAAAATACTGGATCAATCATAAAATTATTTAAATATTTAAAATTAATTGTTTTTTACACATTGAATTGGAGAAAAATAATTTTTTATGTTTAATTTATTAAATATTACTATTATAATAAGTTTTAAAAAATGGGTTAAAACTTACTATAGGTAGTCCAAAATGTTATAATTTTTTCACACAATTTGAATATTTTTTAATTAAATGGGGTTTCCTTATAATTGATCTCCGAATGAATTCAATGTGTTCAATAAGGATTTTTTAGAAGTCAAACTATCTTTCAATGCTAATGTGTAATGTTTGATTGCCGACTTGAAATAACTTGGGTTTGATCTGAACTGTTGCAAAATCATTTCATTAACTGTATCATAATCCGATATTAATTCATTTAATTCATTCTCATTATTATCATCTAATACATTTTGTGTATGTATATTTTCAACCAAAATGTATTTATCATATTCTTCGAGACATTCAAAATAGTTATTTTCAACAGGATCATTAATTTTATTATTTTTGATAGATACTTGTGAAATATTTGACATTGTGTTTTGCTGTGGACTGTTAACCTTGTCAAAATGTGTTATATTCAATTTGTTTTCTGTTGAGCAAATCTCCATAAATGTTTCATTACATTGTATTTCCTGTTTTTTTCCACGTTTCTTTTTATCATTGGAACATATTTTCATTGTTTCTACCAGCATATGATTATGGTTATGATAGAGTGTCACAATAGCTTTAAGAGGAATCAATATCACATTATTATCAGCCATTGAATTTTTAACAGACCTAAAAGTAATTTAAAAAAATAATTAAATTAAACTCTATATATTTTTTAATACTTATTTATAAATGAACACTTACAAAGCTTCACTACATTTTTTAATTCTTACAGTTAATGTAGCCATGCACCCTGTATGCTTTGGATGAGCTTTTTGATACTTATGGGGAAATGTATTATGAACACATCTATACACTTTCTGAAAATATTTATAGATGTAAGACAATAAATATTAAATAATTTAAAGTTAATGAATATTTACATTAAATGTTATTTTTTGGCTCGGTGACTTAGTGAACGATTTGACTCTGTAGGTAACCTTAGATTTTTGTTCCAATTCTGATAACCAAACCAAAAATATATCTTCAGCACAATCAGCAATTTCAAATGTTGATTTCAATCCGTCATTTTCAAAATATTGTATGGTATTCACTTTGTAAACATAATCTACAGGTACTAATCTCTAGAATAATAAATAATATTTATATAATATAATTTTTTTTATTGGGGTTGAGGCTTCGACAGCAAGGGTCATTAGCCTCTGAAACTATGGGGGAGGAACTGTTGGTTGGAACTCGTAGATGTTTGACAGAATTTCGAATGGGCACCCGTAGGTTTCTGGCATGCCCGAATGGGGGGCGGCGACCTCTCTTTCCAGGCAGCGTGTACTGCCTGGAAAGCGATGCCGCCCATGGCCGAGCTTCGAACCAGTGACAGTGCGCGTCGCCGCTGACACCTTAATCCACCTGACACTAAATCCCCATAATATTATTATGTTTATGATATTTTAAATGATATTATGAAATGTAAAATTTTGTAGCAAACCAATTTAAACTTGGGGTGTATGATTTTTCTATATTTAAAATTTTATGAAATATTTGTTCAAATGAACATTTTGTGAAAAACAAATAAATTATAAGTACATTTTAAGAACATATTTGAACTTTTTTAAGCGCATAAATACATGCATATTTAGTACTTTTTAATTGTATTAAGATCAGTCTTAGTTATATGTATTTAAAATTTGTTATATTTCATACAGCTGTCAGCTATCTTACTTTAAAATTAATAATTAAAAAATAATTTTATTGAAATCAATAATAGCCGAGAGATACTGTGGGTAGTAAATATATTATTTGAATTTGATAATAGTCAATTCACTCTAATATTCAAATAATATAGCTTACAAATAATAAACCATAGGGATAGTTACCTAAAATATGCTTTTAATTAACAGTGTTGGTAATATTTAAAAAATAACTGAGTTTCTACCAAAATTAATAATACCTTTAGCAATGGATAATCTTCTAAATTGCTGGGCTCAAATGTCATGCATTTAATAGATCTAAAAATAAAAATAAATTATAAATTATTATATTTTATTTATATCTGTATAACCTTAAAAAGTGGATTATTATTTCAGGCTAGGGACTTCATGTCCTACCTTTAAAATATGCAGAATCACTTAATATTATGTTGTAAAAAATATGAATAAATGTACACTGAATAAAAATTAAATAAATGTACTAAGAGGATGTCAGCGCACTATTTGTTTTCTCTCTCTGACCCACACGTAACATAGACAAAACGCATTTACGAAGAATCATTTTTCTATGTCTTTAAGTAATTTTAGAGTAAAACCTTCCATTACGAAAAATATAATGAATATTATTTATGAGGGAATGACATATCGATTTTATATTTTATTGATATTTGACTTTGTATTCGACTTTCAAAATAAACAAAAAAATACTGTACATTTAAATAATGGTTAAATTATTTAGAGACAATATTTAGACAAATTTATGTCATTCCCTCAAAAATATTATTTTCTATCTTTTTTGTAATGGGAGGTTTTACTCTAAAATTACTTCAAGACATAGAAAAAATGATTCTGCGTATATGCGTTTTGTCTATGTTATGAGTGAGCCAGAAACAGAAAACAAATAGTGCGCTGACATCCTCTTAAATCTAAGTAGGTAAATTGATATTTAGATTTTCGGTCTTTTTTGGCTGTCTAAAAAATAAATATGAATTGAAAATTCCATTAATTTATTTTTAATAATAATTAAATATTACTCATATAAATGTGTATTATAGTGGAATTAAATTGATAAAAGCATACATACTTATCACAATTTTAAGTAAAAATGGATCTGCAGGCATGGAAAATGTAACTCATACTAATTATATAGAATATCTTATTAGGTATTTAGGTTATACTTTTTTTTTTTTTACCAATTTACCAATTTAAAGAAAAATTAAATTTTAATTTAAAAATAAATGTATATAAAATGAGAATATAACACATCATACACAAAAACATGAAAAAGAGTAAAATATGCTAATTATGCAAAAAAAAAATTACTGTAAACTTCTGGTATTATGAAACAGATTTCTAAATAAATAAGCTACGATTTGAATGAATAACAGAAAACATTTAAGCTCCTAAGTCCCTAGCTCTAATTATTGTGGACAAATTTATAAATGCTTAAAATGTAAATAGCAATGATCAGATAATTCACTTTCAGAAAGAATAATTTAAGCAACATATTACATTGATGACTGACATCAAATAATACAAAAATCAAAGTATACCTTTAGTATACTCACTTTTTGATCCTTAAGGAAGCTGTGATGTTCATTTTGTGTTTTAACCTTTCGTGTCGTCTAAGTGAACTTCTTTCAACAAATGGTAACTGACACTTTGGACATTTATGTTTGGCTTCCTTAGTGGTGATACTGCTTTTTGAAATATCAGCTAAAGCTGTGTTATGAATATTTTTCACATGTCTTTTTAAATTTTTTCTGAGGGTAAAATCTTTGTTACATGTATCACATTTATGCATGGTCAATATTGATCACCACAATTAGTTAACCTATTAAACAAAAATATTTAATTGATTGGTAACACTAGGTATTACTAATTTTTACATTCATAAAAACCGTAAATAATTTTAATATTTTAAATTATCTTATGATATATTATATTAGTATACACAGTATACTATTACATATATAAATAGTTATATCCATTTGTATCTCAAATATTCAATGTCAGGCAAATAATTTTAAAAGGTATTTTTAAAACAAATTACTCATACTAATCTTCATACTCATTTTTAGCTAATTATAAATTATTTTGATGAAAACATTATTTATGACCATTTTTTCCTATCAAATATATCATGTTTAAGAAGTCATATGTATATGTTAAGTGTTTGGGTGGCTTACTCCACTAAAGCCATCATATTGTTTCCTACGTCTTCATTGTCAAGTTATATTGAGTACTATTTATAAAAACTTGAACTGATTGTATAACTAATTAAATGGAATACTTAATGTGATAAAAATTTGTTTGGTTTGATGCACAAACTAAGATTAATTATTTGTATTGCATAAATAATCTTAGTCCGTGGGTTAATGTACCTGAATGACAAATAATTTTGTAAGTAAAGATAAGTTATAAATTTATTATGTTTAAAAATTAACACAGTAAAATAGAAATTCAAAATACTTTCCTCATACTAGAAAGTTTAACTTAAAGCCGGGTACACAAACTCAAAATATTTTCAATAGATATTAGATAGTAGTTGCTGAGCAAAACAACAACACTATTCATACTTATCACCCACACTTATGATAAATCGATAATAAATATTAAATTATCTCTATTTGTGTTATCACCACCGAAATAATTTATTATTATTGTTCTGTGCCACGCACATAGATATTAGATAAATAGATAATAAATATATGGATAGGACAAGTATCAGTGGGAATTAAGGGAGTACAATTTTATATAAGATCTAAGGATACAATTGAGGCCAAATAAGTATACCTATATCGACTATCAATATAAAGACATTGATAAAAGGGCCTCAATTGCCTCTCCACCGGGAACGCGGCCTCAAATATATTTAATATAGGCGAAGTCTATTCATATCTTTATTATCTATGGCCACGCATGAATTAAAGTATACTAATATAACTAATATACTAATTACTAATTCGTAGTTCCAATGCTTTAGAAGATCATGATAAAAACCTATTTTTCAAATTTTGGCAAACTTTATTAATATATAATTTATTGTCCTGTGCTATCGCTATGGCGTACGATAATTGAGCCTCTTTTGATTGGTCAGTAACTTCCCGCCAAAATTTATTATTTTTGATAGTTATATTTTCATAATAAATAAATAATAAATAGTTCATATTTTTCCTACTATATAATCTACTATAAATAAAAGTAAACTTTACATTTTTCTTTAGTTGGGATACATGGGACATTATTTTGAATAAGGCGTGATTTTTATATAATTAATTATTTTAAAACATTTTATAGTTAATACATTATATCTCCCATTGATCATAAATGTGTTTTTTGTTGTAAAACCAATGCTATTAATATAAGTAACTACAGTTAAACAGTTTTGTTGGCTTAGTACAGTTTGTGATGTATTAAAATGTTTAACGAATTATTCAAACAAGTGCATATTGTATAGGCTATAAATTACTTTTTTAAATGCTTGTAAATTAATTTCATTTATATATTTTTAATTAAAAAATCCTGTTATGAATACAAATGAATTTTGTAAATGTTTTAGCTTTTTTTTATCTATTAAGTCATAATTTGTATTTTGAGTATTTATTATTTTTGGTTATTATAATTTTCATAAATAAGCATGTTTTAATAGAAATGTTTTTTTTAAATTTATTTATTATAATCATAAAATGTTTCAGCACACATATAGTACTATTACAAGTAATTATTTTTTAACAATGGATTCAATTATATTAGATACATGCATTTTTTACATTGATAGGTACAATTGAGTAAATTATAGTTATATATAGTAAGAGTACAAGTGTATTCTTCTATGAGTCTTCTGATGATGACTCTTTGCTACCCATTAGGAGAATGTCCTAAGGGAGTTGAGGTCGTAGACGTCTGTTTAGTGTTTTATTTCCTAGGTTGTAGTGACGGTCACCAATCAAATTTTTTAAATTGTTCTGAAAGTTTTGGAAATGTGTCTTTATCCATTTATTAATGAAGGGTATATCCGTATCATTGTGAGTTTGACTGTTTCTCATTAACCATGGAGTTTTGAGGTAAAACCTCAAAAAATTTGTATCTTTTTTATTTTAGTGGGTGACGTAGTTGTCCATACGGGACAAGCATAGGATATCAGAGGCCATATTATAATAAAAATATTAAATTGCAACACAAAAATAAATAATAGAAAAACAAATATATTTTTAAAAATCTCACTTTAACATAATTATTATTGATCAAAACATAAATATATACCATTTAGAAACTGATAAATTAATTTCATAGTAGAAAAGTAGGTATATAAAAAAAAATCTTAATAAATGCAGTTTTATACAAAATTATGAACACGTGATAATCAATAAAAATAAATATTGGATAACATTAATGAGATTTTAATCATACTGATAAAATAGTGTATCAATAAATAATAGCAATAAAAAAATGTTTATTTTTTTTTTCCTGATGTGCTGTTTAACATAGCAGAAGGACAAGTTTTTTTGTTTAAACAAGAATCACAATGAGGACCTATGGGTCGGCATATAGTCTGTCCAAATCCGACCAATATGTGGTTAACTTCGCGCCAAAGGTCTTTAGGTAACCAAGACTCTAATGCAATACGCGTGTCTTCTGGTGACTTGGTAGGTTTCTTTACCCATCCCAAACGATTACTTATTCTATGCACATGAGTGTCCACTCCTGTACAATTTAAAAAAATGTGTTACGTTAAATGCAACTTGATAATAAATATAATATTTAAATTGTACTAAACCAATTCCAGTAACTTCATTCCAGGCGCAACTCATACAGAGATGAGCCATTTTAGGTCCAACACCAGGCAACTGACATAGGTCTTTAATGGTGTTTGGTATATCACCATTATATGTGTCCTTTAATATACGAGTTGTGCGTTTGATGTACTGAACTTTCCTCTAATAGTAATTAAAAATTAACATTCAACATAATTTATATCTATGTCAAACACAGAAATTAACAAATTTTAACTTATGTAGAGATAAACATTCAAAATATTACCTTCCAAAATCCAACAGGATATATAAGTTTTCCCAAATGATCATCAGTAATTTCCAAAATATTGTCAACAGTCAAGCCATGCTGTTTCAAACGTTGCATAGCTGCAAAATTAACTTCATCTTTTGTTTGACTTGATAACATTAATGAAATTAATACATGATATCTAATCACCTATAACATTGTAGGAATATAAAAAAGAGATATAATATTGCAATTGTCTTTTGGCTTTTATTAATTGTTTCAATGCAATTAGATAGGCAGAAAATTTTATCTCGTATACATTATGTGTTCATACTTCTGGTGATTCATTTAGGTCAGCAGCTTGATCACATCCCATATTGTCTACAGGTGCAACAATATCTTTACGCATTTTTCTTATGTCATCCAACGTCTTTTCCCAATTTGGTGGCTTCCAATCAGAATTTGAAGTTATTTCATTAGTATCAGATTTTATTGTCAAATGTTTTCTCTTTTTGATAACTTGCACATTATTTTCAAGTTTGTTAGAACCAATTTTATCAGACAAAGAACGTTTATTCCTCAAAGCTCCACGCATTATCATTAAAAAATGAAATCCTAAAAGAAAAGGTTTACCGAGGAAATTTAAGATGTAATTATAATGCAATATTGATATGTAGGTACATACTTATCTATTACAATTTCACTATTTCTGGACAGATATTTAGCCTCTTTTGACGTACCTATTTAGACTATTAGTGTATTAATTTAAAAACTACTAACTAGTAACTTGTAACCAAATAGACATGTAATTATTTTAAATTAAAATAAAAAAAATGTTCATTCACTTCATTCGGCGTTTAAATTTAAATTTTCTCTTATCAGCTTATCATTGATATAAAAAAACAAATCAGCCCACGATCATGGATAATTTAAAAAAAGGTTGTTAGATAGTTCCTTGGAGGATCCAAGATCTATAAAGAATTATAATATCTTGCCTTAGATCAAGATTAAAGCACAAGCACCACGACCATCGCAACATTTGCAATAATATTATTGCTAATAATAAATTAATAACGGATTATCGCGGTCAGTTATTTATTTTTATTTTTTAAAAACCCGACAATAAATTGTAATATAAATAGGTATAACATAATGATTAATGGTTGTAACTCGTAACTTATGAAAATTTAACGTCGCACCCACACGTGTTGTCTTCGTCTTAGACACGACGCATCTACGGCTTACCAGATTTCCGTTCGCTTTTATCAATAGGCTGCTGTCACTTGTCAGTTGTCAGTACTCAGTATTGATATTAGAATGAATTTATCTATTTTAAAACTTTTAGGTAAGAACATCATCTGTGTTCTCTCGTTCTGTTTTTTACGATATTTTAATTTTTAAGCGAGCTATGAGTAGGTAAATTATTAATATATTAAGAACAAGTACTATATTATATACAACTACTACACAAGGTTTTTCACGAAGTCTTGACATAATCCTCGTATATGTATATACCATGTGCATATATGGCTATAAGTCAGAACTTCGTTAAACACCTCGTATATCAATACGTGACAGTCAAGTCAATGTCAAAATACTTGCGAAATATTAGTATTGGGGTCTCCTCCTTTATCGGGGTGGTTGCTTATTTGAGAAATCCTCGGGTGTAGTGGACCTCACACATAATATTATTACCAAATAATACACATATCGACATATTATCTATTTTCGATTGCGCTTTGACAATGCAACAACCTCGGTAAGGGTTGGTAATCTATTTCTTATAAATTTTTCAATTAGAAATTATTAGGCACTTGACTTAATATTAGATTCAAGTAGGGTTGCCAACTTTCAATTTGGAAAATACCGGCCCAAGTGTAAGTAAAAAAAAAAAAAGGTCATAATTTCAGTAAATTTTTATTTGATATAAGTATAATTGATAAATTGATTTGATATAAGTATAATTGATAAATT